CACCACAACATCACACTATTTGTTGTGAAACAGCATCGTCCTCTATGTTGGGTGGGTCAAGAGCGGAACATAGGAACAGAGGGAATCTGTCCTTGCTTTTTGCTATTCTCTTTTATTCTCTTTGATGTGTGTCTCTGGTCATTGAACACGATGTATCTGTTCTCAGAAGCTGATTTCAGAGATGGAAGTTTTTCAATAGCTTTCAAGTAGGAGAGCGAGATTGGCTTAGATTTAACTGTGCGCCAATTCTGTCAGCTGTCTTATTAGGGAACTTGGTTTCAGAAAAGAACAGGGCAGAATTACTGAACGGCCATGTGGAGGGCCCTCCAAGGGGCCTAAGCAGTGAGGCACCCTCTTTCCTGTTTGTGCATTGCATCCATTAAAACTGAACTGGAGCCGAATGTGTAATCAGGAGCCCCTGAACTTGAACAATTGTTGTTTCATAATCACGCACAGTATGCATCAAATAGCTGAAACAAAACACAACAGGATCCTTTCGTCACTTGCATAATTTTCACACATCCTCCAACATGGGGGTCTATTACCATCCATTGTTGCTAACATCGGCCTTAACCTGCTCTCATACTGTGATAAGATGACTAACCAAGTTATTATTCATTTTCATTGATTATTAATTATTACAAAAGACACACACACACACACACACACACACACACACACTTATGTATTTATTAATAGTTTTTACTTTTAATTTTAACCTTGAAAATATCCCTAAAATACCCTGACGTTTGTGTCACAGGGCCCTGTTGTCCTTTGATCCAGCCTGAAAAACTGAGATTTTACTTGAGTGCATTATAAATATAATACTGTATTTATTTTATTAACATCATGGGGAGTTATGGTGAGTAACATCACAACACTTTTATGATCTGGAACAATAAAGATTAGATTTTTTGCCAAATAAGGACAAACAAACGAAATAACACACAAATCATTCTTATTTGGCTCAGACTTACCAGCGGACAGAGTGTGATCTATCATATAATCTTTGATTTTAAAGGTGATTTGAATAAGCTACTCTGTGTAACTCTTCAGTTCAGCTGAGATTTAAATGCTATGGACATTTTATTATGCAATTATGGTGGCATTAACATAAATTACATTGAAATTAAGGCAATCAAATTTAGACTTTAAAAACCTAGTTGTTCTTGCCATCTTATGCAGTCTTTGACTGATCTAGTTAATTTAACATTATCACATTGGGTGGAAAGGAAAAATGAATATTGCATGTATTTAAAGCCTTTGGATGACACAAATTCACCACCTGGTTTTCTTACAGGCCTTTGAAGCCTATCAGGACCGAGGACAGCAGCAAGAATTCAGATCTGCAGTGTTGTCACAAGACTGAAAAACATGTGCTTCTAATGAGCAAACAGTTGCAATTTTCTTTCTGGTAATTGATTATAAAATATTCTAAGATATTAACAGTTAACAGTTTTAAAAAAAACTTTCTCTTTCCTTAATCCCTCCCTGTCTAGCTTGTACTAATCTGAACAATGTCTGAAACTTTGTATAGCAAGCACTTCCTGTGTTTATTAGCCTCTTTATGATGAATCGCTTACTTTGTATAGCAAGCACTTCCTGTGTTTATTAGCCTCTTTATGATGAATCGCTTGTTGTATTTCTCAATTGTAAGTCGCTGTGGATAAAAGCGTCTGCTAAATGAATAAATGTAAATGCAAATGTTTATTTCCTAAACACCGGTCAGTTCAAAAACTTTATTAAAATGTCTCACATTAATGTATTTGTACACTGAACCAATTTAATGAAAGTGTCTATCTTACAATCGCAGGTTACCACTTTTTACAGTGTATTATGTTATATTATATTATATTTTCAAAAGATTCCCCCTCTTTATAATCTCTGACACTTTTATTCGTCATTGACCCATACACATATGTGTGTGCTTTTACGTGCGTATAGAATGCTTGCACATAATCCTCTTGAACGCTTTCCTAAAGTCTCTATTGAAAATGGTATAAATTATGGGGTTCACAGAGCTGTTGCAGTAACCAATCCAGAAAAAGAGATTAAATAGAGAATCCGGTATTGTGCAACTTTCTCGGCATATGGCATGAAGGCTGTACAGCAAGCACTTCCTGTGTTTATTAGCCTCTTTATGATGAATCGCTTGTTGTATTTCTCAATTGTAAGTCGCTGTGGATAAAAGCGTCTGCTAAATGAATAAATGTAAATGCAAATGTTTATTTCCTAAACACCGGTCAGTTCAAAAACTTTATTAAAATGTCTCACATTAATGTATTTGTACACTGAACCAATTTAATGAAAGTGTCTATCATATCTAAACTGTTTCAATCCAGTTTTGAAGTATTTTGAACATGTACTCCTATAAATAATACAAAATTAAAGAGGACTGCCACATCATGTGTGGTCTTTGAAGGAGTTTTCACATTTGACCAGGTAACCTGTCCGTGTTTATCTGATGAAATAAACATACTGTATAATTTAAGTTAAAATCTCAAACATGAATACAATACAGTCCAAAATATGTGCACAAGCAAGAGAAATGCTTATAGAACCCATAACACTATTAACAGAGCACACAGACAAACTCATACACAGGTAAACAAGATGTTTACATGCACACATATGCTCACACATATATATGGGTCAATGATGTGACACTCATTTTTGTCAGGATCCATTCAATTATTCAAAAATGCAATTCCTACTTGAACACCTGTACTATGATAAAATGTTTTTTTTATTTTTTTATTTCTGAATTAGAAGTCATATTCGTGAGGTTTACGAAAAAATGAAAAAATAGTGGTGTAACCAGCTGGAGACTGTAAAAAAATTAAAAATAAAAAAACGCTTAAATTCTAGAAAAAAAAAAGATAAATTGGCATTATATCTTTCACTACAAAATAACCATGGAAGCATTTTTTTTTATTGTGGTGTAAGATGGTGTAACATGCAGAAAGATATTCTGTTTTCATGTGACAAGAAAACCATAAAACTCGAATCACTGTGTGTCAAGATGATTTGTTTAGGTCAAATGGGGTCAGCCTATAAGAACACCATGATATTCATGAATCAAAATGATATTATAATAAAAATTATGTTTGAAAACTGTTTGAAAGCTTTTTATCTACTAATTTATCTACGCATGTTCAATGTGCAAGGAAATAATTGTAGTAGCTTTTATTTAATGATTACACCACTTGACATTTTAAGGCAGATATGTGTATATATTATACACTGAAAAAATGGTAACCTAAAAAATTGCTGAATCAACCTAAATATATTAGGTTACACCAACAAAACTAAATTTAAGGGTAAGATCAGGTCGAAATAGCTCTTTAATGTTACAATCGCAGGTTACCACTTTTTACAGTGTATTATGTTATATTATTATTATTATTTATTATTATTATTATATTTTCAAAAGATTCCCCCTCTTTATAATCTCTGACACTTTTATTCGTCATTGACCCATACACATATGTGTGTGCTTTTACGTGCGTATAGAATGCTTGCACATAATCCTCTTGAACGCTTTCCTAAAGTCTCTATTGAAAATGGTATAAATTATGGGGTTCACAGAGCTGTTGCAGTAACCAATCCAGAAAAAGAGATTAAATAGAGAATCCGGTATTGTGCAACTTTCTCGGCATATGGCATGAAGGCTGTACGTGAAGAAAAAAGGAAACCAGCAGAGCACGAACACCCCCATAACCACTGCCAGCACGAAGGTGAAGCGCTTCTCTCGCATCTGTGCCAGTTTGGACTTGGACAAAGACAGCTGACGCGCCTTCGGCTCCTGATCGAGGTCCGACGCGCGGCTACATGCCCATGACAGCCGTCCATTTTGCTTTGGGCACGCGTGTGCACCTTCCACCTTCCTGCTCTTGGCGAAGCGCGAGTTTCTTTGTCTGTTGGAGACGCTGCTGTCCTCCAGACCGATGTCGTCGAGTTCGCCTTTGCGCTCTCGGCTGCCTGAGCTGTGGCTGCTGGGGCTCTCCATCTCTGACTTGCCTTTACGCACGAAGCAGGTCTCGGATTGCGAAGGCTGTCGCTCCATCCCGTTCTTAGCCACGAACACGGTGGACGCGCGCTGTTTGGCCACCCTGTAGATCTTGCAGTACACCAAAATCATGATGAGACCGGGCGCAAAAAACGACACCATGCAGGAGGAGAGGATGTACCAGGTCTCGTTGTTCAGCAAGCACTCCAGCTCGTCGTGTTTGGTCATGAGAAGCGGTGGGAAGGAAATCACGGCCGAAATGACCCACACCACCGTGATCATGAACTTTATTCTCCGCGGAGTTCTCTTTAGGTTGTACCTGACCGCTTTGGTGACAGACCAGTAGCGGTCCAAACTTATGGCGCAGAGGTGCACAATAGATGACGTGCAGAAGAGCACGTCCAAAGCCAGGTAGAAGGCACACCAGGTGCTTCCAAAGTACCAGTAGCCCATCACTTCATTGGCTAGGGAGAATGGAATAACCAAAGTGGCCACCAAAATATCAGCAGACGCCAAAGAGACCAGAAAGAGGTTCTGTGGCGCACGCAGCGCGCGGCTGGTGAAAACGGCCACCACCACTAATACGTTACCCACTATGGTCACCAAGATAATCACGGTAACCACGAGAATGATGAGCATCGCAGCGTACTGTGTATGCGGCGGGGGTCTAGGCGCGCTCGTGCCATTAGTTTCCGTGGATGAGTTCGGCGAGAGGAAGGGGATAGTAGTTATATCCATTCTGAGTGCCTTCGGCGCTGTTCCCCCATTTGCAGGCGTATTCTCATCCAAAACGCGCTTCGACTTCAAACTTGTAGCAACCAATCTGAAGCGCTGCGCGATCCGCCAAAAACTCTGCGCCAAGCGTATCATACCAAAGACAGTGTGCTAACTTTTAAAACTCCCAGATGATATGAATATCTTTCATCAATTTCAGGTGCCTTTTTGATGGGGTAGTGGTCAACCACACAGAGCCAGGACATGTTTTGTTTTCCTAAAGAAGCGCCCGCGGAGACAAGCGGCAGGGAATGCCTGGTGTTGAGCTTGAGTCTTCGGTACGCTCCAGTGTGTCGCGCTGAACAAATATGGGAGTGTTTGTGCCCGTTTCACTCCTCCCCTCTCTCTCTCTCTCTCTCTCTCTCTGCGAGTTTCTTTGTCTTTTGGAGATGCTGCTCTCCTCCAGATCGATGTCGTCGAGTTCGCCTTTGCGCTCTCGGCTGCCTGAGCTGTGGCTGCTGGGGCTCTCCATCTCTGACTTGCCTTTACGCACGAAGCAGGTCTCGGATTGCGAAGGCTGTCGCTCCATCCCGTTCTTAGCCACGAACACGGTGGACGCGCGCTGTTTGGCCACCCTGTAGATCTTGCAGTACACCAAAATCATGATGAGACCAGGCGCAAAAAACGACACCATGCAGGAGGAGAGGATGTACCAGGTCTCGTTGTTCAGCAAGCACTCCAGCTCGTCGTGTTTGGTCATGAGAAGCGGTGGGAAGGAAATCACGGCCGAAATGACCCACACCACCGTGATCATGAACTTTATTCTCCGCGGGGTTCTCTTTAGGTTGTAGCTGACCGCCTTGGTGACCGACCAGTAGCGGTCCAAACTTATGGCGCAGAGGTGCACAATGGATGACGTGCAGAAGAGCACGTCCAAAGCCAGGTAGAAGGCACACCAGGTGCTTCCAAAGTACCAGTAGCCCATCACTTCATTGGCTAGGGAGAATGGAATAACCAAAGTGGCCACCAAAATATCAGCAGACGCCAAAGAGACCAGAAAGAGGTTCTGTGGCGCACGCAGCGCGCGGCTGGTGAAAACGGCCACCACCACTAATACGTTACCCACTATGGTCACCAAGATAATCACGGTAACCACGAGAATGATGAGCATCGCAGCGTACTGTGTATGCGGCGGGGGTCTAGGCGCGCTCGTGCCATTAGTTTCCGTGGATGAGTTCGGCGAGAGGAAGGGGATAGTAGTTATATCCATTCTGAGTGCCTTCGGCGCTGTTCCCCCATTTCCAGGCGTATTCTCATCCAAAACGCGCTTCGACTTCAAACTTGTAGCAACCAATCTGAAGCGCTGCGCGATCCGCCAAAAACTCTGCGCCAAGCGTATCATACCAAAGACAGTGTGCTAACTTTTAAAACTCCCAGATGATATGAATATCTTTCATCAATTTCAGGTGCCTTTTTGATGGGGTAGTGGTCAACCACACAGAGCCAGGACATGTTTTGTTTTCCTAAAGAAGCGCCCGCGGAGACAAGCGGCAGGGAATGCCTGGTGTTGAGCTTGAGTCTTCGGTACGCTCCAGTGTGTCGCGCTGAACAAATAATTGTAAAATCCATAAGTAGTCGCATGTTATAATAACTTTCATTAATAAGTCATGAATGTACATGGAATATATTAATCAAAGTTTAATTTCATTACCCAGTAATCTTTTAAGAATTATATAATGGTATTTATATAATACAGTTAGTTACTAGCACTTACTTCAACCGTGCATCTTATAATTGCCAATAGCAATATTTGTATGTAATGTACATAACACTTTTACCATGGTGCATGATTTTTAAACCAATACATTTTCACATTTGCATCTCATACCCAAGCATCATATGTATGGCTTTTCTAATGAAGTAAACTTGCTCGGTAGCTCACCTGGTACATCTTTGTGGGTATGAGACCAATGATACACAAGGCACAATAAAAGAACAAAGAACTTGTTAAAAGCAAGCTAAAATGGCAAGATTGCTTTAACATTAACCTTCTAGAGCCATTCATTGGACATTTAATTTAATAACCAGTGGATCCTCTGTGAATGGGTGCTGTCAGAATAAGAGTCCAAACAGCTGGTAAAACATCACAATAATTCAATTCTCATTTTTGCAACACCCTAACACATAGCTGATAACACAAATGAAAAGAAGTATCATTTTGAATGAAATCTAAACAGATATATAATAATAATAATAATAATAATAATAATAATAATAAAAAGGAATTAAATGAAAATAATCATGTTATATAAATTTTTTATATTTTTATATTACATTTAAATATTTAATTTTATTTTACAATATTTTACATTACAGTTACAAATATTGTAATGTAACCTGCAGTTTACCAATTATCAGGTTTTTATTGTTGTTTTTATTGTTACTGAATACATTCATTAAAAGTTATAATTTCTAGCATTTTCACAATATGTAATGTTGTGACAGTTCCTCCTGAAGGCAATTAGTCACTAATGTAATTCCCAGTGTGAACTGATTAATGCCATATAAAATATGCTACATTCTGGAGCTTTGGGGTAATTTGGATGCTTCATTTTGCTCCACATGCTTAAGCAACAAATATCCTCATTTATTTTTAGAGACGTGATTGTTAACTTGCTATACAATTATTAGGCCTGTAATTCTAGTGAATATAGTCATTGGAAGTGAGATTGATTGACTACTAGCTGAAAATAGCAAATTAGGTAGAATTTAAGATGTCAGTAACCAACTAATTGTACCTCTGGACTTTTGCATTTAAAAATCAAACTAAAATGAAAGTGTTTTTATATATAACACCATTTTTGAGTAATGATTCTAACATAACACTAAGCCAAACACCAAAAAAACAACTACATATGTGTATGTACAACCACACACACATACATATATACTGTATATGTACATGTGTAAAAACAGAATTCATGAGTTAGTTAACAGCTGACCTATAAGTATAGTTACTCAACAAAGATAATGACCCTTAATGACCCGTGATGTTGAACAATGTGAAATTCCGTCAGCACTGAGGCATAATGGCTTTTGTTAAAGTGTCAAAATGAGAATGTTTGCAGAGCATGGCACTGAATTGATAAATCTCATAAACCTAGCTGATTAAAATAGGAAATGCTAGTGTTATATAAATATTGAGATTCAACAGTAATTTGCATTCATTTACTATAAAACAATTGTTTGCAACAGACTGACTAACTGATAAACCATTGTGGCCAATAAACAGAGCAGAATCACAACTGATTTCAAGAGAGTTTGACGTTAACATGCTGCTAAGCTAACTGAACAATACTAGTAAGCATAAAAATAAACAACTCTGAAAATAATAAGTTTACTGTTAAATTAACAAGTATATTTAGAGTTAACATTTCTCTCACCTTTATACAACATCTCAGGATTATTTTTTCACTGAACATGTCACAATGCATTCTAAAGAATGTATATAATGCTGCCTTTAAATCTGGCTATAAGATATCTTAACACTGCTAAGCGTGACTCATAAAATAACAGTCAGAAATATATTTTAAAATGGTTGTTGTTGTTGGTCAGGCTTTTATGACTCATATAGTGCGATCACTCGAGAAGGAAAAAACACCTCAGTTTTATTCAGAGGCCCAAACTGAGCAAAAATAGGCATCTTTATAACAGTATAGCAGACTACTTACAGAAAATGCATGCAAATATCGGTTGTCATCTATGATATTTAAATGCTTAAGCTCATGTATCAAAGCTCTGGCATTTTTATTGCGAGGAGCAAAACATATAATGCAATGCAATACAATGATAATTGAGAGATGCACATAAACATTTCTCAAAAGCTTGATGTATGATGTATCATATTTGATCCTCACATTTCAACATGATTTTTCTAAAAAATAAAAAAAAAAGTATAGATAATCAACTAAACCTAAGTTGCTTCAGTCCAGTAAGTGTTCATCTTTAAATATTACTAATAATATAAAAGTTATTTTACTTTATAAAAATCAGTAAAAACACATCACAGCAAAAAGACGGCTTGTAGGTGGATATTTTTTACAATTATACTAAAAGGCCATTTACTTGGCAAAAATAGTAAACTATCAATTAGTTGACTCAATGCATGCAGTAGATTGTGTACAATATGTTATTCATAATTTGCATTTCAATCATGATACAATAGGCTTTATAGGGTTAAAGGCAACGTTCATCAAAAAAAGAAAATTCTGTCATCACCCCCATGTTGGTCCAAACCCGTTAGACATTCTGTGTTGAACACAAACAAATAAATAAATAACCACCGAGATATTTCTTGAAATATCTTCTTTTATGTTCCACAGAAGAAATAGAGTCATACAGGAACAACATGATGACAGAACTTCCATATTTGTATAGATTGGCCCTTTAACAACATGTTTTTAACAACATGTTTTCAGGTTTTGTAACACCTCTGATGCCCTAAAATATTGCCTCTGTAGGCAGCTCACTAGAGCACATGAGAAAGACACTGTGTGATGCTTTGAATGCTGCATTACTATTATGAGCAGTGGACTCACACTAGGCATTTGCTGGGTAATCAACCGTTCTCTCTTTATGGCCCTTTTAGGGCAAATGCTCTGGCTTTGAAGTTCTGATTGATGTAATTACAAATTCAGTTGAGCCCTCTTAATTGTAATTCAGGGAGAAGGTCAATATTATGAAATATTACAATATACTTTGTGCGTGAATACTCAGAAATGAACACTGGAAGTTCACCGATTAATGAGTGGAGTGCGCTGGGATCTGTTGTTCTCATTTGGTTGCTTTGTTCACAGGAGTCAGCGTCAGCACTTATATCTCAGCTAACAGATGTGTCATTCCTGCTGCTTTCTGTGACAAGCTCAGATGTGTGGCAACTGTGCACATTTCTTGCTCTTTGTCAGTATGCTGGCTCACATGCATGTGTTCTATTATACAGGCGAACACACAGTTTTCTGCAGAAAATCCCCACGGGTTATGATGTTTTATGAACTCAGGGTGCTGAACTCCCTCAGTGTGTGTAATGACTTGGTGGGTTTACCAGCATCGCAGCTGTAGCTTTCTATGACGCCATTGGCACACGCGGCTGGAGGAAAACACAAGGCTTTGTGCCTTGAATACTGCCTTGAACTGTTTTCTGCTCCAACCTCCTTTGGTTTTTGCCCTTCAGCTTTTAGGCTCCTTATTTAAATCTTCAAAAGGGGAGGACAAAAATCTAATTTATAGCAGTTTCATCAAACCATTATTTAGTTGTTCATTTGCATTAATTGTCATCACCTTTAGTGTGATTGGGATTGATCACTGTCTTCATTTCTGTATCAAAGTCAAAGCAATGATCTATAAACATCTCAAATAATGTGCTGCGGAAAAAGGAGCTATCCATCTATCTATATATTTAAGAAATATTTTCTGAAAATATATCATTAAATTTTTTTAGGCAAAAACAAATATTTTACCAAAACAAAAACACTGAAAGAACAAAAAAAATAAAAAATAAAAAAAATAAAGGCCTTTAAAATTACAGTTCATGAGAAAAAGCCAAAGTCATTTCCAACGAGCTGGTATGTGAAAGTATGAGTAATGGCTATTTGATTTGAAGCAGGACCTGTCCTTTCGGACTCAATGATTTGAGGTCTTGTGAAGGTACAAGATGATGTAAACCCATGGCAGGAAATATGCCCCCAGAATGCATTAAATGCTCAGGTAGCCCACGTTTAATCAACTTTGTATCCATGTGGCATCTTGTCTGTGCCAGCCCGTCTCTCAATTTGCCCGACAAGGTCCAGAAGATGAGTAATGGGGCATGTTGGTTGGGATTTTTCAAGGTGTGGAGCTTTAGGGGAACATCTATCATGGGTAGCAGGGCCGTGTTATCATGGTATATCTGTCCGCTCATGATGTGGCAACTGGACACATGGGCAGACGGTGAATAAACTGCAATTCCACATGACATGAGAGACCCTAGAGATGCTAGAAAAGGTTAAATGCAGCAGCTAATATTTTCCATGTTTAACATCTAATGTAATATATTTAATGACCTAGGCTGTTTCTCTGCTCAATGTCGTCTGTGTTCCTAAATATAGCTTGTATACGTACTTGGCCATTCACGTTGCTATGCAAAGAGGTAAATGTAATTATAACATTGATCTTATTGATAGAGACGTGCTCACTGGAGGTGCGAATGTGGGGGTGTGAGTGTAAGAATTGAACAGGGAGACACAACAAAGGAAAAAAGAACCCTGTTTACTCTGAATTATTAAATGAGATGCAGAAAAGAAAATCTGGACGATCAGGGCTGTCACAGCTTCATGTCAAAGGTCAAAACGCAGCCCCTGTGACAAATTCCCAGCTTGAAGGGATCCCCCAGGGCCCTTTCTGTTCATGACTCAGACCCACAGGCGGTTTCTTTGTTTGCATTTGACTTACACATCCAGCTTCTT